CCTCCAGGGAAGGAAAGACCACCACCTCCCGAGGGAGACTGTTCCATGGTCAAACTGCTCTTACTGTCAGAAAGTTCTTCCTGATGTTTAGTCAGAACCTCCTTTCTCATAACCTGAAGCCATTGGTTTGAGTCCTACCCTCCAGAGAAGGAGGAAGCAAGCTTGTTCCCCCTTCCATGGGACAGCCCTTCCGATATTTGAAGATGGCTCTCCTATCTCCGCTCAGTCTCCTCTTTTCCAGGCTAAACATCCCCAACCCCATCAACTGTTCCTCCCAAGGCTTCGTCTCTTGGTCACCCTCCTCTGCACACCTTCCAGCTTGTCAACATCCTTCTTAAATTGTATTGCCCAGAACGGGATACAGGATTCCAGGTGTGGTCTGACCAGGTGTGGTCTGGCATCTGGAAAGTAACAGTATTCTGGTTGAAACTGGCTTTCTTCTGTTGTGGAGACGGTCAATCAGTTCCTTCCTTAGCAGACCACAAGCTTCACATGAGCCCACAGTGTGATGCAGCAGCAAAAAAGGCTAAGGCTATTCCAGGCTGCCTCAACAGAAGTCTAGTGTTCCGATCAAGGGCAGTAATGCGTCTATGGCACACGGTCTGACTCTGTATAAGGCTGCCTTATACAGAGTTCCCATGTCACTCTGGTCTGCTTGGCATTCTGGCGAAGCTCAGTGTACCTCTGAATACCCTAGAATCACAGAATCATAGAGTTGGAATAGACCAGAAGGGCCATCGAGTCCAACCCCCTGCCAAGAAAGAAACACCATCAGAGCACTCCTGACATATGGTTGTCAAGCCTCTGCTTAAAGACCTCCAAAGGAGGAGACTCCACCACACTCCTTGGCAGCAAATTCCACTGTCAAACAGCTCTTACTGTCAGGAAGTTCTTCCTAATGTTTAGGTGGAATCTTCTTTCTTGTAGTTTGCATCCATTGCTCCGTGTCCGCTTCTCTGGAGCAGCAGAAAACAACCTTTCTCCCTCCTCTATATGACATCCTTTTATATATTTGAACATGGCTATCATATCACCCCTTAACCTCCTCTTCTCCAGGCTAAACATGCCCAGCTCCCTTAGCCGTTCCTCATAAGGCATCGTTTCCAGGCCTTTGACCATTTTGGTTGCCCTCCTCTGGACACGTTCCAGTTTGTCAGTGTCCTTCTTGAACTGTGGTGCCCAGAACTGGACACAGTACTCCAGGTGAGGTCTGACCAGAGCAGAATACAGTGGCACTATTACTTCCCTTGATCTAGATGCTATACTCCTATTGATGCAGCCCAGAATTGCATTGGCTTTTTTAGCTGCCGCGTCACACTGTTGGCTCATGTCAAGTTTGTGGTCAACCAAGACTCCTAGATCCTTCTCACATGTACTGCTCTCAAGCCAGGTGTCCCCCATCTTGTATTTGTGCCTCTCATTTTTTTTGCCCAAGTGCAATACTTTACATTTCTCCCTGTTAAAGTTCATCTTGTTTGTTTTGGCCCAGTTCTCTAATCTGTCAAGGTCGTTTTGAAGTGTGATTCTGTCCTCTGGGGTGTTAGCCACCCCTCCCAGTTTGGTGTCATCTGCAAATTTGATCAGGATGCCCTTGAGTCCATCATCCAAGTCATTGATAAAGATGTTGAATAAGACCGGGCCCAAGACAGAACCCTGTGGCACCCCACTAGTCACTCTTCTCCAGGATGAAGAGGAACCATTGATGAGCACCCTTTGGGTTCGGTCAGTCAGCCAGTTACAAATCCACTGAGTGGTAGCATAGTCAAGACCGCATTTTGCCAGCTTCTTTACAAGAATATCATGGGGCACCTTGTCAAATGCCTTGCTGAAATCAAGGTAGGCTACATCCACTGCGTTCCCTTCATCTACCAGGCTTGTAATTCTGTCAAAAAACGAGATCAGGTTAGTCTGACATGACTTATTTTTCAGAAATCCATGCTGACTATTGGTGATCACAGCATTCCTTTCTAGGTGCTCACAGACTGTTTGCTTAATGATCTGCTCGAGAATCTTCCCTGGTATTGATGTCAGACTGACTGGGCGGTAATTATTTGGGTCCTCTCTTTTCCCCTTTTTGAAAATAGGGACAACATTTGCCCTCCTCCAGTCTGCCGGGACTTCGCCTGTTCTCCAGGAATTCTCAAAGATGACTGCCAGTGGTTCTGAGATCACATCTGCCAGTTCTTTTAATACTCTTGGATGCAGTTCATCTGGCCCTGGAGACTTGAATACATCTAAACTAGCCAAGTATTCTTGTACTATCTCCTTAGTTATTCTGGGCTGTGTTTCCTTTGCTGAATCATTTGCTCCAAATTCTTCCGGTCGGGCATTGTTTTCTTTATCAGAGAAGACTGAGGCAAAGAAGGCATTGAGGAGTTCAGCCCTTTCTGTGTCCCCTGTTTGCATTTCACCATCTTCTCCTCTGAGTGACCCCACTGTTTCTTTGTTCTTCCTTTTGCTACGAACAAACCCATAAAAGCCTTTTTTTGTTGCTTTTAACCTCTCTAGCAAGCCTGAGTTCATTCTGTGCTTTAGCTTTTCTGACTTTGTGTCTACACGTGCTGGCTATTTGTTTGAATTCCTCTTTGGTGGTTTCCCCCCTTTTCCATTTTTTGTACACATCCTTTTTTAATCTTAACTCAGTTAAAAGTTCTTTAGATAGCCACCCTGGCTTCTTTAGGCACCTTCCATGTTTCCGTCTCATTGGTATTGCCTGACGTTGTGCTTTTACTATCTCCCTCTTAACAAACTCCCAGCCATCATGAACTCCCTTTCCTTTTAGTATTACTGTCCATGGGATTTCACCCAGCACTTCCCTAAGTTTTATGAAGTCGGCTTTCTTAAAGTCAAGAAATTGAGTCCTAGTATGCTTGGCTGCTCCTTTCCTCTGTATAGTAAACTCCAGAAGAGCATGATCACTCGCGCCTAATGATCCTTCCACTTCTACCCCACTAACCAGGTCATCAACATTGGTTAGGACCAGATCTAAAATGGCTGTTCCTCTTGTTGCTTCTCCCACTTTCTGGACAATGAAGTTGTCTGCAAGGCCAGTGAGGAATCTGTTTGACCTTATGCTCTTGGCTGAGTTTGACATCCAACAAATATCCGGGTAATTGAAGTCCCCCATTACTACTATCTCCCTTCCTTTTGCATGCTTGGCCATCTGTTCCAGGAAGGCATCATCTATGTCCTCTGTTTGGCTTGGGGATCTATAGTAAACTCCCACAATGAGGTCTCTGTTATTCTTCTCTCCCTTAATTTTGACCCAAATGCTCTCACTTTGGCTTTGAGGTTCTAAATCTTGGATCTCTTCACAGGTATACACATCCCTGACATATAACGCCACTCCTCCTCCTTTCTTGTCTGGTCTGTTTCTCTGAAATAGATTGTATCCCTCCATTATTACATTCCAATCGTGGGACTTATCCCACCAGGTTTCAGTGATGCCTATTATGTCATATTTAGTTTGCTGTACCAAGAGCTCAAGCTCATCTTGTTTATTTCCCATGCTTTGCGCATTAGTGTACAGACATTGAAGTCCATTAATCATTCCCCCGTGTCTCTTATTTAAGGATTTTTTCCTCCCACCACTAGGTCTGCGTGCTGTTTGCTCCATTTGGTCTATGACATTTGGATGATCATCTTCATCAATTGATAGACTCCTACCTTCAGGAGCACTGTCTCCCTCCCCCACATTAGTCAGTTTAAAGCCCTCCTGATGAGGTTTCTGAGATTTTTGGCAAAAACATTTCTCCCAACCGTTGTGAGGTGCAGCCCATCGCTTGCCAGAAGTCCATCTTCAAGAAACTGCAGTCCGTGATCTAAGAATCCAAACCGTTCCTGTTTACACCATTTGCGAAGCCAGCTGTTCACTTCCACTATTTTTCCCTCTCTCCCTGGGCCACGTCGTTCAACTGGGAGGACAGATGAGATGACAATTTGTGCATTTAATTGCTTAAATTTCCTGCCCAGAGCCTCGTAGTCTCTTTTGAACTTCTGGAGGCTATTGCTTGCAGTGTCATTGGTTCCCACATGAACCAAGAGGAAGGGGTATTTGTCAGTGGGTTTTATGATTCCTTGCAGTTGTTCAGTTACATCTTGGATCTTAGCCCCGGGGAGACAGCACACTTCCCGAGACATCTTGTCAGGCCCACAGATCACTGCTTCTGTTCCCCTCAGTAGGGAATCCCCTATCACCACTACACGCCTCCTCTTAGGTTTGGTCGGGGTTCTTCCGTGAGCTGTCCGTTCCAAGGTCGCCTGCACAATCCCTGAGGACTGACTTTGCTGCTCGTCTTCATATACCTGATCGACTGTAATGAGGGAGAGATCCTCAAATGGAGTCTGTTCTTCGTCTTCCCTGCTGGGGAGAGGACTTCAAAGTGATTGTGTATTTCTAAACAATCAGAGCAAACCCTGGGCCTCCTACTTCTTTGAGTCACGTTTCTCCATATATCTGGCACCTGTGATGGTGAACTAGCCTCCTTCTCAGGGGTGTCCCCTGTCTCCTCCTTGGTGGAGACGGTGTTCTCTGTTGCTTCCAAGAAGAGCTCCAGCTCTCTAATTCTTTGGAGCATAGCTACGCGTTCCTCCAGTTGCTGGACTTTGTCTTCTAAGAGGGCAATCAACATACAATTGCTGCAGGTAAAGCTGCCTGCAACCTTTGGCAAGATGGCAAACATTGCGCAGGAACCGCAGGCGACTGCAGCTGTTCCCTCACCCTCCATCTTGAGAACGTGTCGTTGGGGGTGGCTACAGTGGTCCTCCATCTTAAAATGCGTGAAGAAGGACAAATAACTCCCCCCACAAAAAACCTAGGTCTTCCCCAACAAACGTTTGAGACTAGCTCCCCTAAATCTAAAAGATGGATCAAACTGCCCTGCTAACTCTGATAAGCTCCTCCCACAGCTAATCACCTGACTCAACAGAAACCCTGCCCCCTCTGACCTTTGCACAGGGAGAGCAGCTAATCAGCCACAAACACACACAAGAAACCACAACACACACACCAGAAAACCCCTAGCTGCTGAGAATCACAAGTGTGGAGGAGGCCATTGTGCTTACGTCTTGCTTGTGAGCTCCTGGTTTCCAGGTCTGTCTTTTGCCTGATCCATCAGCCGGGCTCTTTTGATGCTCTTTTGGTCCCCTTTTACAGATGGGTAACTGGATAAATCAAGTGAGAAGAAAAGACTTTCACTTTCCATATGTCCAACATTCGGCTATTACTGTGCACTCAAAACCTGCGTCAGACTCAGAACTCTGAGAGGGACGGGGAGAGTCAGAGGCTGCCTGAAGTTGCAGAGATAAACAGCCAGACCAGGAACACCTCCAGGCTGAGAAAACTGCCCAGCAGAAGTCAAGGTAGTGAAAACACCCTGTTGTTCTGGTGGAATTAAGCAGAGGTGGGGATCCCTCCTGCAGGAGGAAATGGAGGGTGGGGTGGGGGGAATATTTTGCAAATGCCACAATGCGCCTTCTGCACTTAGTTTTTAAGGGGCGGTTGGTGGTTGGAGGCAAAGTCTACCCTCCTGGGTGATGCTCTAAAAGGAAGGGGGAAAGGGGGGGCACAATCCATGCCAAGGATTCACCCCTTTCTCTTTTTATATAATTTTTATTAAATTTTCTGTTTTACAATTGAAAATACTCATTTTACATCCTTAAAATAGCAATGACTTCCCTTCTTCTCTTTCCATGGTTCATTTTACATCTCATAAATCCCTGCATATTTTACAAAAACTATACCAATCAGTATTCCATTATTGCATCCATCCAGACTTATTTACACTGCTGAATTTATCTTAATGCTGCCAGTGTTTTCAGCTGTACGCAGTTATTTCCCATATATTCAATAAACATTTTCCAATCTTCTTTAAACACATTTTCTTCTTGTTCTCTTATTCTATATCTTGAGTCTGCAAGCTGTGCATATTCAGTCAACTTCAGTTGCCGTTCTTCTTTGGGTGGGACCTCGCTCGTTTTCTATTTTGGGGCTAACAAAACACGGGCCGCAGTAGTAACATACATAAATAACCTATTCTGACACCTGGGATTTTCAGTCTGAATTATCCCCAACAGAAAGGAATCGTCTTTTGTTTCCCAGTCTAATAACAGATTATACATTTTAAACAAAAGTTTCTCTTTGTTTCATAGAAGTTCTTTTTTGAATTGTGAGCTTTGGTCCGAAAAACCATCTTAAACAGATGGTATTGCAACCAATCCGTAATATGGCTCCTTACATTTTCCATTGATTTCAACATTCCTTGTTTTGCTAGAGTGGACATGCAAAGGAATGTTTGGTCCAGCCAGTTGAAACTTCCTGTTGCATGTGACTAGTGGGTGGGCGTGACCTTTCCAGACCTGGCAAAAGGCCAAGTCACCCTGCCGCCTTTCTTTTTTCTCCCCTTTTTGTCCTGCCAGCTTCCTGCCTCACCTGGACTGGACTGCTGGCTGCCACAACAGTTCCCCAGGTCATCTCCCATATGGGGTAAACCTGTTTGTACATGTTTGTAACTTTAAGCCTTAAGCCAGCCTTCAGGGATCACACTGTGCTCAGCCTGATCACAAGTAAAACTACTTTTTGTTACTTATGAATAAGACTGTGGTGTCTTTATTCTTTTAGGAGGGATTCAAAAGGGTCTTACAGGGAATATTAGAACATATCTCAATCTAGACAAGCCAGATTGAATTGTGTATTGTCTTAAGAAATTCGCATGAGTTTGCAACCAGCTGCGTCCGAAGCGGACTGCACTCTGCTAAGTGAAGAAACTTGCTAGCACAAGTTAGGAAGGATATTAATAAACAATATATTCTCTCCTGCCACTCTGAACATTCCCACAAGACCATCTAGTCCAACCCCCACAACGCAGGAGTCACATCTAAAGAATCCATGACAGAGGGCCACCCAGCCTGTTTAAAAACCCACAAGGAAGGAGATTGCACCGCCTTCTGAGGGAGTCTGTTTACCATCAAACAGTTCTTGGCTTCAGAAAGTTCCTCCTAAGGCTTAGTCAGACTCTCCTTTTTTGTAAATCAAATCCACTGGTTTGGGTCCTGCCCTCCGGAGAAATAGAAAACAAGCTTGCTCCCTCTTCGGTGTGGCTAGAATGTAGAAGGGGCATTCTCAGGTGAAGTCATTCGGTTTAGAGTTTGATATGTAGCCATGTTTACCCAGAACTGAGCTTATCTGCAGTCGTTATTGCCTTGTACAACAAGTGGGAATGGAAGGACCTCTAAGTTTTGGTTTTTCCAGTTTCTATGGTTCCCTTTTGGACTTAGACCCCTCACAAGGAGTTCAATGTTTTTTCACTGGAGCCAAGGTAGAGGGCCAGCAACCTTTATCTCATTGAATGTTGCTTCCTTAGCTACCAGTCTTAAGTATCAGAGAGGACCAATTTACGTATTCCCCAAACTTTGTTTTTGACTAAGGACTCCAGTAGCAGGAAAGTCCCAGGAGAGAAACTGAGTTTCCAACACTGAGAGTCCCCCAGGAGTTCTGCAAATGACTTTTGGTGTTTTAAATGCAGGATTTCTGGACCGCTGTGAACCTTGATGGCAGCTTGTCTTTCTGCAATAGGCAGCATGGCCAAAGGTGAGTCTTTTCCTGATACTGACCATCCTGAGGTAGCAAAACAAATGCTGCATGGTTTGCTTATGACTTCAAGGTGGCCACAAACAAGTCTTCTCCTTGGATCATGCTGAGGGTAGAAACTGTGGTCAGGGTGCCCACTGGAAAGAAACACCACAACACATTTTCTGTGCACCCTCAACTGGCAAGAGAAATAGCGGTAGGAAATTTCCCTTGTACGGTGGAACCTCGGTTTTCGAACGTAATCCGTTCCAGAAGACCGTTTGAGTCTTGAAATGTTTGAAAACTGAAAACTCAATACAGAAGCCTCAACACAATATGGAAACTCAAAATGGAAGCTGCGCGGCATGTTCAACTTCCGAAAAGTGTTTGAAAACCGAAGCATTTCCTTCCGGGTTTACTGCGTCCGAGTTCCGAAATGCTTGTCAACGGAGACCTTCAAAAACAGAGGTTCCACTGTAGCTTCAATAGAATCACAGCACTGCAAAGTTGAAGGGACCCCAAGGGTCTAATAATAATAATAATAATAATAATAATAATAATAATAATAATATTACTTATACCCTGCCCATTTGGCCGGGGCCCCCCAGCCGCCTTCTGAAAGTCAGGTAAAGGTAAAGGTACTCCTGACCATTAGGTCCAGTCGTGGACGACTCTGGAGTTGCATGTACATCTCACTCTATAGGCTGAGGGAGCCAGCGTTTGTCCGCAGACACGCAGACAGCTTCCGGCTCATGTGGCCAGCATGACTAAGCTGCTTCTGGCGAACCAGAGCAGCGTACGGAAACGCCGTTTACCTTCCCGCTGGAGCGGTACCTATTTTTCTACTTGCACTTTGACGTGCTTTCAAACTGCTGTTGGCAGGAGCAGGGACCGAGTGATGGGAGCTCACCCTGTTGCGGGGATTCGAACCGCCCACTTTCTGATTGGCAAGCTCAAGAGGCTCAGTGGTTTAGACCACAGCACCACTGGCGTCCCTAAAAGTCAGGTAGTTGTTTATTAATCTAGTCTGATCCCCTGCAATGCAGGAATCGCAACTACCACACGCATGGCACATGGCTAGCCAACCTCTGCTTAGAAACCTCCACGGAAGGAAAGTCTGATGCTCTTGGCACCAAGTTCTTCTTGACATTTAGTCAGAATCGCCTTTCTTGTAAAACAAATTAGGTAACTAATAAGTAGCACGCCTATGAAACATTTGTAAGACTTTTGTGTGTGTGTTAGTCTCAGGAACTTTGTTGATATGGTATTTTTTATCCCTTATTTAGCCAGAACAGACAAAGAATTGAGAATTCTGCTCATTGGCAAAACTGGATCTGGGAAGAGCGCAACAGGAAACACCATCCTGGGGGCTGAGAAATTTAGAAGCACATCCAATATTGATTCAACAACCAAGGACTGCGAAGGAAGAGAAGCCCCTGTAGATGGCAGGGCAATTGTTGTTGTTGACACACCTGGGTTCTTTGATACAGCATATAAGAAACGTTTCTCACGAGAAGAGCTGAAGAAGTGCGTTGACATGGTCTCTCCTGGAGCTCATGCCATCCTCGTGGTGATAAAAGCGGGAAAGATCACAAAGGAGGACCAGGAAACATTTCAGCTCGTGAAACAGCTCTTCAAGGATGAAGGAAAGAACTATCTGATTCTTTTATTCACCTATAAAGATGAGTTAGATAAGAATCATTTAACTATAAATGAGTTCATACGAGGCGCTGAGGGGCACCTGAAGGATCTAATTGAGATGTCCGAAGGACGATTGATTGCTTTTAACAATGTGGCTGATGAAGAAGAAAAGCGGAATCAGGTGAAGGAGCTCATTGAGATGATTGATGGCTTGGTGGCACTCAATGGCAGAACACCACTGTACACCGAAGAACAATTCAAAAAGGACAGCTCTAGCTCTTGCTGTAACATTTTGTAATATCGGCAGTGAGGAGTCGGGAATCAAGGATGGAGATATGTTTGCCCACCACCGCTTTCTTTTCTTTTCTTAATAATAATTTTTATTAGTTTTCAATTACTATACAATAATAGCCTCATTATAATAATACCAATTTATAATACAATTATTAATACCAATCGTTCAAATACTGGGTCATACAATTTAGATAGTGGCCCCCCCGCATACTAGAATTGATGGGTTGATTATTTTCTTTATTTCTGCATTCCAAAATCTTATTACTTTCCATTACTTTCCCTTATACAACAACCGCAATATTAATAACTGTCAGTTTGCATTTTCTTAGTGCAGAAAGATCTTTCCTATTCTATTTAATTCAAGAAGGTTCTGGAAGCTTCTGTGTGTGAAAGAAACAAGCAGAAGCTTCATGTTGTTTGGGTTATTCCTTCAGAGAAGCTGAGTCCAGCTGCCTTAAACTGGTTCTGTTTTCTTTTCTTTCTATAAAAGTTGAGGCCAGAAGGAGCCTGGGATTCTCTTTCTCTTTCTTTTCCTTCTAGTGTGCTGTTCTGTACATAGTATGCTTAGTGTGAAGGTTTAGACTTGTTATAGGTTATTGTAAGTTGAAGTCTGCAAGTGGATTTCTTATTGACTGTGCCCATCCTGAATGTGTTGGATTTGTGACCACGATGCTCATCTGCCTTCAGTAACAGTAAAGCTCTGCTGGATGAAATATTCATTGCCTCTGGTCTATTTTCTGGGAATCCTGCAACGTGTTTGAGTTTTATTGGCAAGACCCAGGAACTACACTGGTACCTCGGGTTAAGTCCTTAAATCGTTCCAGAGGTCCATTCTTAACCTGAAACTGTTCTTAACCTGAAGCACCACTTTAGCCAATGGAGTCTGTAACCTGAAGCGTCTGTAACCTGAAGCGTATGTAACCCAAGGTACCACTGTACAGCATGTTTGCCTGCAACAATGTGAACAATTTTTTCTTCTGAAAGTCTAGCCCAGAGTAAACAGTTTCAGAAACACTGCAATAGACCTGCTTCTATCTTCCTGACAGCCCCTGCCCCCTCTGGTCCCCTCGCCCCCAAACCTGTGGCAATCTGGGTCCGTCTCCGCCTGACTTGACCAACGCCCATTGACCACGGGATGCCTGCCTGCAGGGACTTGCCCAGAAAAACAAAGAATCATGGAATAGCAGAGTTGGAAGGGACCCCAAGGGCCATCTAGTCCACCCCCTGCAATGAAGGACTCTTCCCCCAAAGTGGGGCTTGAACCCACGTCCCTGAGATCTCTACCAACTGAGCTATCCTAGTAAGCCCTCGCCTTGCTCTGTGCTGGACCCAAACTGGGGAAGCAAGATTCATTTATTTTTAAATTTTTTATTCAAAATTAAAACAAAACATATTATCCAGAAACATATCATCCTTATTCCCCCCATTTTCCTCCCTCCCCCCACCCTCCCACACAACCCCCACCCCACCCCACCCGGCTTCCCTCAGTTCCAGTCTTTGATTTCTCTAAGAATGCTGTTTTCTGCATGTTACACAGTTGTAGAGATCCTCAAACTATTTAGCTGATGGCTATCAATTAAAAGTTTGTGAATGTTTATTCAAAGCCAGCCAAGGAGTCCAGTTCGCTTTCTTGCGTCTTCAAATACTTTGTAAAGGGTTCCCATTCATCTTCAAATCACCGTTATCCTTGTCCCGTAGCTTATATGTCAGTTTTGCCAGTTCTGCATAGCGAGAACTGGAAGCAAGATTTATTGGGGTGTTCATACTGCAAGCCTCTCCACCCTATGCTCAGGTTGCATTTGTGGCTGGGACCACACAGTGGCGTAGCTGGCTGCTTGGGCGCCCGGAGCAGAGCATGCTGCGTGGAGCCTCTGTGGAGTCTGCCTGGTGGACGCAAGCCCCATGCTGCCGTTTTGGGCAGCGTGGAGCCTGCAGGAGCTCACGCCACCACGCCACTCCCAGGAGAGACGCGCGGCTCAGGGGCGCTGCTGGCCAGGCCCCGCGGTAAGTGCTGCCCCCACGGTGTGCCATCACCCCCCTCAGTGATGACACCCGGGGCCGTCTGCACCCACCACACCCCCCTTCCTACGCCACTGGAACCACATATCCTAAGAGCAGCAGAGTCTCCAATGGCCTCTGAATGCCACTGTTTGGGAATCACAGGTGAGGAGCGCGTGGCTGTGACAGGATGCAAGACCAGGTGAGTCCCTGGCCAGATCCAAATATTGGGCTCGTCTTACATAGTGGCTCCTAGATCCTGTTCATCACTTCTAGGAAATCTGACCCCCCTTTTTCCACAGTGTCGGACTCACACATAAGCACAGAGGGGTCTTCCTTACCCCAAGGCCACATTCTACACTCTTCTAGGCTTCTTTGGTTTGGTAAATAGCTTTGTTGCAGAGTCATGTGAATCCATATCACTGCAAGAGGGAGAAAAACTGAGCACGGCTTTTAAGCCATGTAGGTTGAGAAGAACACAGGAAGTTGCTTTTGGGTGAGGCAGGAAGAAAGCCAGATGTGATTACAGATTGCTTTTGGTGCAAAGCCAGCCGCCTTGGGAAATCAACTTGACATGGCCAGAGCATTTTCAAGAAAGGCAGCCAGAGCCTTTCACGGACAGCAGCCCCCTCTCTGCACAACCCCCCCCACCCCCGTTTTCTGGTCACGTTTTTAAATAGTGGGTACGCTTGGTTCTTATTTCAAGCCATTGAAGGCAATTGCTCTAGAGCAGTGGTGGTGAGCCTATGGCACTCAGAGCACCCAGTGAGCTTCAAGGATGAGTGGCAGGGATTCGAACCCAGCTCTCCCAGCTCTGAGCCTGACATTCAAACCACTACTGCCGCTCATTGAACTCTAACCTTCCAAGTTAAGTTAGGTTGCTCATCTTGCCACACAAGAGTTTATTTCCTTATTAATTATGTTTATATCCCACCTTTTCCTCCAAGGAGTTCATAATTCTCTCCCTCCCCATTTTATCCTCACAACAACACTGTGAGGTATGCTAAGCTGAGAGTGAGTTATTGACTTGAGGTCACCCAGTGAGATTCATGGCTGAGAGGTGAGGATCTGAACCCTGAGCAGTCAGGGATTTCCTAGTCTGACACTCTATCCCAGGGTTTCCCAAATGTGGGTCTCCAGCTGTTTTTTTGGACTACAATTCCCATCATCCCTGACCACCGGTCCTGCTAGCTAGGGATGATGGGAGTTGTAGGCCAAAAACAGCTGGAGAGGGTATGGAAGACCAATATGAGCTATTTTAGGAGGCAGATTTCCCAACTTGAAAGTAAGAAAACACACGCCAAATAATGTAGCCCAGCAAAGCGCACCCAACTGCAATCCCCGTAGCGACCAACAACCAATCTGCCACGAGACGCGGTACATTCTGCCTCCTGCCAGAAAGTTGCTCTGCTCTTTGCCTGGCCCATCTGTTCTCTATCATGTAACTCCTGAGATCTGCACTGGTTATGTCGGGCTCCAAGTACAGCTCGTTGATGTAATAGCCTCCTCTGTTCTCCTGAACCATGTCGTGGATCATGTCCATCAGCTCGGAGACCTGCTCCTCCCTCTCTTCCCCTTCTGCCCTGTTATTGAAAGCGCAGAAGCGGCTGCCACATTTCTCCATCAGCTCCTTGACAGCCTTGTTCTCTGACCACCCCACATAATCCCGCAAGGAGCCTCCACCTAAATCTTCTTTGCGGGTGAACAAGACCACCATGTGCTTGGTGGCCTCCAAGCCAAAGACATCCTGGACTTGCTTCGCTGCCGCCTCATCTTCTGCTGTGAAACGGCCCACCTGAGTCACGAAAACCAGAGCGTGGGGACCAGGCCTGGACAGCTCAATGCAACGGATGATCTCGGCTGCTAATTCTTCATCACTGAAGGCACCTGAGCTCAAAATATCTGCTGTGTCCACCACCAAGACAGTCCTGCCATTCCAGGTCCCCTGGCCTCTTTGGCAGGTCACAGTTGTTGTTCCTGGCCTAAGCGCCGACACGAACTCTTTCCGGCCAAGGATGGTGTTTCCCGTGGCACTTTTCCCGCAGCCTGTTTTACCGACAAGGATTATCCTCAGTTCTCTGTCTTCTCCTGTGAGCAATGGAGGAGATGTTAGAGAACAGAAGATCAGCAACCAAAGGGTTCGAGTTCTCTCCGGGTGAACCTCAACCCTTTTCTGATATTCAACGCAACACCTCACTGCTGTCCAGCGAAGCTGAGGGGTGAAAATGGCGGCAGCTCACCTGTTTGTTGTTTGGGATGGAAATCAGGCAGGAGAATAGGATGGGGATTTGCTTCTGCTGCTTGTCTGATGATACAGTGGTACCTTGGTTTTCGAATGTAATCCGTTCCAGAAGAATGTTTCCAAAACATTTGAAAACCGAAAACTCAATACGGAAGCCTCAGTACAATAGGGAAACTCAAAAAGGAAGCCGCGTAGCATGTTCGGCTTCCAAAAATCATTCAAAAACTGGAGCAGTTACTTCCGGGTTTTCGGCATTCACAACCCGAAATGTTTGAGGTGTTCAAGAACCGAGGTTCCACTGTATTTCCTTTCCCTTAAAATTAGTGGCCTTTGTGTTGAAATGAACGGTGTGGTATTGTGTAATTAATCACAACATCCATTATGATCCGTGCTACTTTTGTAGAAAAAAAGCGTGTGCTGGAGCTCACCAAAAACTTCTCCCTTGTTCTGTAACACTAACACACCTGAGAGGTACTGCAGCTGAGCTCCAGCTGAAAAAATGCCCTGGTTATTATTATTTATTAAATTTGTATTTCACCCTTCATCCAAAAAGTACAGGGCTTTTCACATCATAAAAATACGAAACGAGAAAACTAAAAACATAATGAAACAAGGACAAAAACAAACCAATAACCCCTTTCCCACAAACACATTTAAAAGGCCATAGAAAGTTAATCAGCCAAAGGCCTGGCTGAAGAGAAACTTTTTCTCTTGGTACCTAAAGGATCTGCAATGAAGGCACAAGGCAGGCCTCCCGGGGAGAGCATTCCGCAAATGGGGAGCCACTGTAGAAAAGGCCCTGTTCTTGTGTTGCCACCCTCAGGACCTCTTGAAGAGGAGACGCACAAAGAAGGATCTCAAGGGATGATTGCAGGAACCAGGCCGGTTCATATGGGGAAATTTAGCATGTTAAATTTGGCCATGGTGGATAGCAAGACGAATCAGGTAGTTTTTGTTGGAAGCTGGACTGCAGTGGAAGGAAAACTGTGCTGATTGTGCCAAGTACAGCTTAGACCCAGGCTATCTGAAGGACTGTCCTCTCCCATACGAATTTGCCAGGCTGCAAACAGGGGGGACAATCTGAATTTTTCAGATGGTTTATTCCTGTAGATCATGGCATTCGTACAGTTGGTATCATTCAAAATCCAAGTCGGTTCATATGAGGGAATACAGTCTTTCAGATAGCTTGGCCTGAAGCTGTAAAGGGCTTTAAAGGTCCTTGAATTTTGCCTGGAAAATGATGGGTAGCCAGAGAAGCTGTTGTAACCAGGGAATCGTCTGCTCCCTGTAACCTTCAGGAAGGGGAGAGCTGGGAATACTGGTGCGGTTTTAACTGGAACCGTTAAAAATGGAGGAAGGGATAAATAATGTTTTTGAGACAGTAGCTAATGTAGATTTCTCCCCCAAAATGTGATGTTTTGCCTTCTTTCTTACCTTCTCCGACGGAATCTTCATCTGCCTGAAATATTTGTGATAGTTTAAGGTTAGTCCAGAGCAGCCTTCGGTTTGCAAACTTGAACACTAATTTGGTGCTAGTTGAGAAATGCTTTTAAATCTTTTATTTTTTTATTATTTTTATTATTTTTATTATTTTTATTATTTTTATTATTTTTATTATTTTTATTATTATTATTATTATTATTATTATTATTATTATTATTATTATTATTTTATTATTATTAAATCACCCACTGCTCTTCTTTAAGAACAACCACCCTGAATCTTCTCAATGCTCTGAGGCCTCACTTTTTGCAAAGTGCACAGACCCTGAGAAACAGAGATGCCGTATTTTTCTGTGTATAACACGCCCCCTTGTATAAGATGACCCCTTTTTGGGGGGACTGTGACAAAAAATAGGGGGGGGATTGCCACAGCAACCAATTGTCTGCACGCTCACTGCCACAAGCCCTCCTGCACACTACACAAAACCACACACAATTGCACGCAAGCATCGCCACTGCCGCTAATCAATCGCCCAATTGCCGCAGCCGATCGTAAGCAGGCCTTGACGCAGACACCAATCACACCTCCAATCGCCAATGCCAGTCTCCGGCCGGCTGCCACCACCAATCACCAGTTTTCTCCTGCTCTGGAGGGCGGGACTCGAACCCATGGCTTCAAGTTATGAGAAAGGAGATTCTGACTAAACATCAGGAAAACCTTTCTGACAGGAAGAGCAGTTCAACAGTTGTGGAGATTTTGAAGCAGAGGCTGGGTGGCCACCTGTCAGTGATATTTAACTGTGTTTCCTGAATTTCAGGGGGTTGGACTAGATGACCCCTGGGTCCCCTTCCAACTCTACAGTTCTAGGATTCTATGAATTACCTTTCTACTCTCCTTTCTGTTAAATGATCCAAGAGCAAATTGCCCACCCTTTCTTGGGGCTTACCTCTGAGGTTTTCAGCAATGGTTCACGTGACATGTTTTCTCCCGGGGCAATTGTCTTGCTTCAAGGCGACAGTCTTCCAGGATTTGTTCCTGCAAACAATGCAAGTTAGTCATTTGTCTGAAAGCCAGCCTGCCCCGTGAGCCGAAGGCAGGGCGCGGGTGCAACCTCTATGATGATACATCAACCCCAGTGCAGGGCTTGCTAAACTTAACAGAATTGCTGAATTGCAATTCCAAGTGCAACCTTCACCAAGTCTGCTCAGGAGCAAGTCCTACTGAATTCAGTGGGGCTTCTTCCCAGGTAAGTGTGGTTAGGATTGCAGCGTTCACTGTCTTATAAATTTAAGTCTAATTTATTTATTTCTAGAATATTTTTTAATTGATTTTCAATTTCTAACATTTTTATAACATCATATCTCCATTTATATGTTTTTAGCTACAATTCAGTTTATATTTAAAGTAGATAATTAAATGAGCAAATTAAATGAATTCTCATATGCAGAAGATATTAAAAAATAAATTTAAGGAACCGCAGAAATAGGGGGAAAGAAGCCAAACTTTGAAATGCTAAAATGATTGTGAAATTAATGAAATGTATAAATTTCAAAAGGATAAATAAAACCGTTTTTGAAAAAGCTCTTAATATTTTTATAATTGCACAGAAGTTGTTGCAGAAGAAGAAACCCGAGAATCTTGAAGTTGTTGGAAGACTCCTTCCTGTTTTTGCTGCAACAGACCCTGGGTCTTTCTTAGGAGAGAGACTCCTTGAAAAACGTCTCCGGTTTTTAACCCTGTTCTCTTCACCCCTTCCCATCTACCTCTTTGGAGATCACAGCTGTGGCTTCTCCAGATCTTTCCTACTTCTGGACGTTCTTGGACGACATTCTTTCCTGAAGTGCAGACACAAGGAGCAGAGGAGGCGGCTGCTGTCGGCTCCAAACTGGAAACGAAGGACAGGCTGCAATAAACTACATTCTCCCCCAGTGAGAAATGGCCAAAACTCCACCCACAGCCTGCCAGAAAAAGCCGTTGGCTTAAAGAAAAAGTTTTTGCCCACACAAAAGCAATCGTGAGGGTTAATGCTGCTAAGTTCTGCTGCAAAGGAAGTTACAGACATTTCAACATTTTTGTTCGTGTGTCTTTGCAGCTATTTTGGTCCCGGTGTTTCCCTCCACGACCTTGACTCTCACTGTCTTTGTGTCCCTTATTCCTGTCCTGAAGTTTTAAAGGGGTGCAGGCAGCAGCTGCCCAGCAGAAAGGCAAGGCACTCTGCACAAGCTCAGAGACCATTGTGGCCCCATTATCATGGAATCAGAAGATTTGCCTTCAGAGCCTCTTTCTTTTTCCTGGCATTTTGCAGATTGTGTAGCTGCAAGCTCAAGTTCCCGACCCCTGTGCTAGAATGGTGGAATATAATAAACTGCCCCCAACTGGGGAGAATAACCTTACCGTATTATTCTCTGTATAAGACTATATTTCCCCCATTTTTTAAAAAGTTTAAAATTGTGGATTGTCTTATACATGGAACGTTTAAAATATTTATTGCTTAATTTGGGGCTCAAAAAATAGGGGTCGTCTTATACATGGGGGCATCTTATAGACGGAAAAATACAGCAATTAAAATTAAAGTCCTTCTACAGATTTTGCACACTTTCCCTGCAATCGCACTGTGCATGCTACACTTGCTATAGGAAAATTCCAGGGCTCACTTGGATTGCCAAACAAAGACACCAGCCAAAAAATGAGGAGCAAAACAGCAGCTGGTCGGCTTGATCTTTTATTCAAAAGACTGCTGCAACAGGACTTCCACATGGCAGAAGCTTCCTCTTCCATAAGTTTTCTTTTTGTGGGGATGTTCAGGGAGGCAGGAGAGGATATATTGTCTGATTATAGCCTTTCCAACTTGTGTAAACAAGTTCACAATTTAGCAGAGTAACATTCCCCCTTTTAAACTCACAGCAGATGCGTTTGCTCAGGCTCGCTAAAGCCTCTATAATAACTGTTCTGGTATTTCCCCCTTATTCCCTCATAAAAGATAAGACACGACACAGTCTTCTATAAAAGTATAAAAAGAGTTTACTCACACATCATTCTGTTCACAATAGGATCCCAGAAGGCAGACTTAGCTTAGAAAAGTAACATATACCTGCAAACTATTCCATAAGAAGACAGTCCCTTTGTCCTCTCTTAGAGCATCTTTGGCTACGCAGATGCATGTAATCAAAGAGAGAGAGATGGCTGCCCTGCCCTGTGCTTTTGTCATTACCTGCACAGGTGAGGCCACACCCACCTCTAGTCACATGTAGAGGAAGTCTGTCCCAGCCCAGAAGGAAACAGGAAGTTTACCTGCTGGCTGGACAAACATTCCTCCCCATGTGTAAACATGTTCACTCTAGGAATGTTGTAGTTGTGTTTCACATCCCCCACATTCCCCCACAAACACCTTTGGTGAAACATCATGCACACATCTTAGATACATCACACATATGTCACAAATTGGGAGGAGTCTCTGGCAGAAACCCATCCATCGGGTTCTGCCCCCAACCCTCTCTTGCCCTCCACCTCACCCCCATCAAGTGATACAAAGGAAGTATTGACAAGTTCCTGGGTTTCCAGGTCAGGTAATGACACCTCTTTGTCCTGACCCGGGAGCACAATCCATTCTTGGATGGTTGGCTATTGTGCATGAGATCACTACCTGCCTGGAACCCATTTGCCAGGATGCCAGGGAGTATCTCTTGTGCAAGACGCTGCTGAGTACGTGATCCCAGGTTTCAGGGATTATGGTTGCCCACATCCCAGACTCCCCCCTTGATAGCTATTCCTTCCCTGAACAGAACAAAGTTGGAATGGCACAAATCCAGACAGGAGAGATTTTACATGCCTTTCTAAGGTTTTCCCAGTGAGCCAGTATGTAGATATATTTATCAGTGAATTGTTGCATTTGGTGATGTGCAGCGGAGGCCCTTTGAATAGAGAAAGGGGAAAAACTGTGATGAAGTGTTTTGTGGGGACATTTGCAGGAGTGATTGTGTTGAGTTTGGTAGTTGGTGTGTGTGTGTGTGTGTGTGTGTGTGTGTGTGTGTGTGTGTGTGTGATGTCTGCTGGAGGGCAAACACCCTGCACGCCCCCAACCTTTACATAAATTCCTGTAACACACTCCAGATATATGCATGTGAAATAAGGTTTGCGTGCAGCTTAAACAAAACATAGCATGTGAAATGAAACTGCGAGATCTCTGCTGCGCTGTTGTGCAAAGAGGAGAGAAACTGCTATCTTGTTTTGCATTTAAGGTTGAGCAGAAGATAGATATGACTGATATGAAAAATTCCTGCCTATCGGGGTGTACCACACTAGGCAGGGTGTTATTTCTAACAGTGCAAATTCTCAGAAATGGTCCACAGCACATAGATTTCGCTTTTGCTTTTGCTGTTTACTCCCATAGTTTCCCTGCAGCTTTCTCTGCCTTCCTTGTCCTCCTGAGCCGGGAGAGCCTTCTGAAATCTCAATCAGGGATTGTCTGACCACGAGGTGGGAGAATGCATCTTCTCAAAGAGCCCCTGTTTTCCAGGGACAGACCAGGAATTGCAGAAGCCATCCCAGTTTCTGATTTGATCCTGGAATGCCCCGGTTTTCCTTTTTCCTCCCCTCGGAAGTATGGGAGAACAATTAAAAGTGGTGTGTAGGAGCAAAAATGGACTCCTGTTTAGCCTGAAAATAAAATTCCTGCACCAAATGGAGGAAATGGTGATGGCGGCACACAAAGCCCCTCCTATAATTTTGAAGGAAAAGCTCACCAATCCCCTTTCCATTCCGTAATTGCAATGCTTCAGCTGCCAGCCATTTCTCGGGAAACACGGGGGGGGGGGTTATTCCTTAATTGTAAATGGAGCCTTGCGCTGTCTACTCATATGTAAATCCCACGGTATTCATGTACTGAGTGTAATAGGATCCAAAATGCAGCAGTCTGATTGGTCCTAGAACAATAGGATCCAAACTGCAGCAGTCTGATTGGTCCTAGAACAATAGGATTCAGAATGCAGCAGTCTGATTGGTCCTAGAACAATGCAGCAGTATGATTGGTTGGCAGGAACCACCCAATCCTGCTCCAGATAGAAGTGAATCCACAACCTGATTGGCTTACAGTAGAATTCCGGAATTAGCCAATCATGTGCAGCCCATTGTGTAAATAATGTATATAAAGCAGATACTGTGAGGGGACTTTCATTCATTCCTCCTCACCACTATGAGCTGAATAAAGAGCATGAAATCACTTTGCGACTCTGAGTATATTTCACCCAGGTAACTGGGTAAAGACTAGGCAGCTTCACACTGCAAGCCGAACCATTTTTACTCAGAAGTAAGTCCCACCGAGTTCAATAGGGTTTCCCATGGGGCTGCCCCTACAAATTCCAGACAGATGGGCGATTAAAGGGTCTGAGGAACAAGGAGGTGGAATGAGGGATGCAGGACAAATTTGATCCAGCTTCCTTTGAAAGGTGGAAATAGTAAATTTCCACTTTCCAAAGCAAAATGAAACAGCCAATATCTAAAATCCTCCCTTTGTGGAATCTCACGACGCAGTTCTCTAGCTGGAGTTCACAAGGACGCATATAACCGTGAAAATGACATGCAAAGGTGCGTTTTATTAGGAACTGTGTCTTGCAAAAGTATGTATGTAATTTACAAAGGTGTTTGTTAGGAGAAATTGACACAAAAATATGGCTAAACTTTCATAATGGTTCAAAAATAAAAATAATGCATTTCCAGAGAGTTTAAGACAGGAAAAATGAGAAACTGAGAGAACTGAAGTGGATTGACGTATCCACTCCTATGTGGGGTTTAGGAAACTGCAGACAGTTATGTTATTATTTTCATAAAATTCCTTTACCTCTTGATTGTAGAAAACCTCAAACTGCTTTGCAAAATGAATAAAACAACAGGATTATGATTAATAACAATGAAAACATCCACAAATTAAAACCAGCGACAAACTACAAACTTATCAGTATTCTGAATATGTGAGTAGCCTTGTCTGATCAAAAATGTTTTTTGCAGGCAGCAAAAAAAAGCAAAGTTGCCTGCCTGATGTTGATAGCCAGGAGGGTTGGTGCCATCACACCGAAAGAGCAATTACTTATCAATGCAGAACAGATATTATATGGCACCTGTAACTGTGCCCATTCTGCCAATCAAAGCATCCAGAGACCACATGTGGGGTCAGGCGATCTCAGGGCTAAACTGCTCCCAAACTGTTACGGACTTAATATCCTGAGAGCAATGCCTTGAACTTGGCCTGGCAGCAAATCGGGAGCCAGGGCAGGTCTCTGAGCCCAGGCATCCTAGGCTGACAAACACCTGCTGCTGTCAACAATGGTGACATCCTGCACTCATTGCAACTTCCAGATTAGGCACAAGGGAAGCCCCACATATTTTAGAAAGAAACGAAACACTATGAACTAGATGATATGAGAGCATCCTTCAATTCTTTCCCCTTTCCTCCTCTTTCCCTTTTTCTGTGCAGGGCCTTGATCCGTCCCTGTGAAGGATCTCCCAGAGCTTTTCCATCAGCAGCTTGGAGGCCTCCTCCTTCTCTTCTCCAGCTGCCTTGTTATTCAAAGCGAAGCAGCAATTCCCACATTTCTCAACCAGTTTCTTAACCTTGTTTTCGGACTTCTCCACATAGTCCTTCAAGGATTCACCTTTCAAATCCTCTTTGTGGGTGAACAAGACAAGCATGCGCTTCCCAAACTTCTTCCTGAACACCTTCTTGACCTTTTTAGCAGTTTTCTTGTCTTCTGGAGTGAAACGGCCCACTGTTGTCACCAAGACCAGAACGTAAGGACTGGACTTGCGGAGTTTTTTGATCTCTCGCTTGTGCTGTTTG